TATATATATATTTCTGTTCTTCCCTTGAAATTTGTTTTGAGACTCGAGCAATTTTTTTTTCAGATCAAGGTGGAACGTGAAATGGGGCGAAATAGTTGCAGTCTGTAGATAGTGACAGTCGATATTCAATTGCAACCAATGAGGAGAGAGTGCGAGACTGTAAGAGCGATGCTCTTCCGCTGTTTGAACTCGGGCGATCAACTGTGATGTAGTCGGCGAGAATAGACTGTGATTTTAAATAATAAGTATTATATACGACACTTTAAGAAATAATAAATAAATAAAAATGTTCTCACATGATCATTATCCCAGATTTCTCTTCCTTCTTCAAGATCAAATACCTATGAAACGTACATAAAATTATAAAATAGTTTATTTATTTTCAGTTTCTTTTAAAATTTTTACTATTACCTATTAAACTCCTTTATAATTTATTGTTTCAAAAAGAAAAAAAAATAGCAAGAACGTTTAAAAAAACTCCACTTATACTATACAGCAGTGCTCTCCAACCTTTTTATAGCCCTGGACAGGCCAATGCTTGATAACTTCACTGCGGTCAGCTGAAGGAGAGGAGTGAGACGTCGATTATTTATGTTTTAGAACTTCGGTTTAATTGCATTCAAACCTGAATTAAAAAAAAAACTACAATTACGTTGGTATTTGTGTGGCTTGAGATGACGTCTCTCAGCTCCCAGTTAATTTCACGTCCATGGGAAGTGGTAAAAATCCGAGAGAAATACATCATCACCTTAAATAAAGTGAAAGTAATTTAGGCAGTTCGGTACTATTTGATCCACGAACCGGTACCCGCCTCAAGCCCGGGTGTTGAATATCACTTTCTACACTCTATTTACCAGTCGATTTATGAATAAACAATGACACTTGCAGTTACGGACACAAATTTAAGGGTAGATTCGAATCCCTGTTTACATTGTTAATAGCCTGACTAACGAATTTTTTGTTTAAATTATTTCATTTTCAAATTTTCTATTAGGGTTAACATTAAACCATAGTTTCAGTTCAAAAGATCCTGTTTCTAAGTATTTTATAACCGTCGTTGAACAGCCGATCCAATTTTTGGGTTTACGACTACTAATGTTCAACTCCGCAGACTTATAATTTTGAACCCAACCCAGAAGGCAAGGGAACTCCTGGATCAAGTATTGGGAGAAATTTGTCTTCGTGGAGGACATTTTGATGGAACTAACCTTTGCGTTACATGAAGAGGAAGACTACGAGAACCTACCACGGTTAGCCTTACGGCAAGGGGACTCTAACCCATGATCCGTCTACCACTGAGGATATTTCACGTCAGCACTGTGATCTGTGCAAGCCGGATGCGGAATTCGTATCCAGCAGCCATCGCCGGGATCGAACCCCGGTTCACCTCATTGGAAGGCGAACGCTCTATCTCCTGAGCCATCGCGGCTCTGTTTCGAAGTATTGGCTTTGTTGATATTCTTGATTAACCAAGACTGGAGCCTTTTCGATTATTTACTAAGCATGAAGATTTGTTGCTAACTTGTATCGCATTGATCTTCCTTCTGAAGCAGCCTGCGTTATGTGCGACTAAAACTTTCGCATAGATAAGTATATGTCATATACATACAGGCAATGTCATACATGCTGGGCATGTCATATACATACAGGTGATGTCATTGTTATCACTTTTGTGTAGATTCTCCCCGTGGAAATTTATGAAATAAGGAGCTTTTAGACATTAGAAGGAGATTCTCAGAGTTATAACTTTTCGCTTTCTCTTAAACTTCGTTTTGTTAATTATTATAGAAACTTATTATTAAATATGCAATATATATTATATTTTAAATGTGTACATAGCATAATACTAACTTGTTCTTTCCTAATAAATTATTAAGTGCACAAAAGTTTTAAAAATCGTATTATTTCCTTGTGGTTGTTAATTTTGAAATTTGTTTTTATAAATTTAAATTATTTAATTTATTTTTAAAAATAAAAGAATTATCTGAAATAAATAGCAAAATCGTAAAATTATTTAAAATTAAATTATAATATTTTTTGTTATTCAATACTACTAGTAATATTACATAATAAGAAATTTTCAAATATGGAGGATCTATTATTTTTGAAACACACATTGAAATTAAAAAAAATATTCTTCAATATCTATGAAAAGTATTCATTATTTAATTTTTTATGCACATAATAGTATACAGAAAAAATATTACTTACAAGACAGACACGAGTTGATCCTACACTGTGGCTTACATTTTTAAAATTTTTGAAAAACACACATTCATTTCCAAAAGTTGAAATGATCGTAATATTTTATACTTATAAATAAATTCGTATTAAAACATATATNTAAGCAAAATATTAGAAATATAATATTTTCGTTTATAAAATTTGTTATTCCAGGAAAGACATAACATATTTTCTATAATCTAGTAATTAAATTTGTAATTAGTTTTTTATAATATATATATATATATATATATATATATAGTTATGGTGATATTTTTAACAAACCTTCTTCCATAAATATTATCAAAAGAATTTATTAACTATGAAAATGATATTAAGTACTTTACCCTATCTTCAAGCGCTTCAATTTCAGCAGAAGATGGACCTCCTGTAATTTCATTAAATGAAAAATAAATAAATAATGGAGCATTGTTATTAAAATATTTAGGTGAAATGTCTAAAAGATTTATTTTAATTTAAGTTCTCCGCCCATCGTATTTGAGAGCTCAAAATATTTGCCCGATTAAAAATTGAGAACTTGTAATTACTTTAAGTGCTGGCATAATTAAGTATCTTTCACCTTTGCTTCGTAAAGTGTTTACGTAATTTAAAATACATTAACTCTTTTTTATTCGTCAATATTATCGTTTTAATAGAAAATATGTTTTTTATTTTGAGACATATTTTGGATTGCGATATCTTTGCATAGATAAAATAATTATTTAAAGCTTTTTTATGATTAAAATAAATCTTATCTCTTTTCAAAATTTCAAAAATGAATATTTTCTGAACGATTTTAATAATTTTGATTGAAAAGAACTATTTGACGAATAAAAATAAGAGCTAGTTGAGTGATTTGGAGTCAATCATACTGTAAAAAATTCCGGATCAAATTACGCTATTAAGTACTGCCACTTCAGGAGCATCAACCGTAAAATCCGTTTTTACGTGAAGTATTATATCGTAATTTTTAAGTTAATATTTATTGTTATGTTGTTGTTATTGTCGGCCATTAAGGCAGAGGGGGAGCGATTGTTCTTGTTTTTCGGTGGCGCCATCTATGACCGAGAATTCGACTTCTGCCACACCCATAAGTCACACCCGTTAATAGGGCAGACCCATTCATTACATCCATTCATTCGTCCACAGATCGCAATTTTGACTTAAACCAGAGAACGATCAATACCCACAGAGGCAATGATTTGTTATGGGAGCATGGTGAACTTTGTGACCCGTCAGATTTAACGCGCACCAGTCACCATTTACACGGGGAGTTTTCGGACTGCTGGATTCGAACTCCCGTTTTCACAGACGTGAGTCCAGCGCCCTGCCTACCAGGCTATCCCAGTCATTAATATTTATTTAATTCGTGTTATACAGTGACTATATGATAATTATTACTGTAAAAAAATTCGGCATATCAAATTTTTTGTTCCGTAACATTTTCTGGTAAAGATGGATTTTACGTTAAAAAGCACCCGGACTCTGAGTGCCGGTACTTTTTACTGATCGGAAATTTAAGTGGTGTATAGGTGCTCTCTGTATAGTTGATACCCATTTGCTGATTATATGGTTAATACCCTAGCAACAAATACTACCAGCCGTGTTGGTGTCCTTTCCGGTTTTCTAGAATGTACTGTAAATGTTTTGTGTAAGTTTTAAATACTGAATTGTTTTTTTCAATTACTGCGTTTGAAAAATACAGCCCTTTTGTTCCAAAATTTGAAAACAAGATAATTGTTTCTAAGTATTGACATTGTTTTTAAAATAAAGTACGTTTTTTTTAAAAACATAATTAACTTTTGCGAAACCAAGCAAAAAAAATGCTTGTTGTACCACGAACGAATCTGGGTATTTTTCCTTGAATCAGTTCCAAGTTCAAGTCTCAGTATTATACCCTGAATACTTTTTTACTGTGTACTGAACCTTACATTGTAAGAAATTACGGTATAAAGTGCAGACACTTTGGATGCATAATCCTTAAAATTCATTTTACCGTAAAATATTAGACCATAACTTTTACAGTAATATTTATTTAATTAGAGTGATTTACTGATTTTACTGTAAAGTTACTATATATGATTTTTTTTTTGTTCCGTAACATGCTCCTGTAAAAGTGGATTTTACATAATTTTTACGTACTTTGATTCGAAATTTTTTACAACGCAAAATGACTGTTTTCTTGCAGTATAACATTTATGCATTACAATATAATATTATCGATATTATTTACAACAAGCAACTACATATTACTTAAAAATTATTATTAAATAGTCTTGGTTTATTGATGCCTTATATGTTTTCAAACATTTACATAATAAAGCCTTATTACTTGCCTGGTCTGCGTGCTTCCTGAAAAATAAAGAAAAAAAACTATTAATACAAATATTAACTTAATAATATTAGAAAACAGGAAATTTTAGAAAACATGGCTTTCTAATTTATTAGAGGTTTTAGGACTTTAAATTATTTTGTTAAGAACTACCGACGTCATTTTTAATTTCATTTACGTCTGAACTAAGAAACTACCTTACTTATTCCACCTGGAACATAAAGAATTCGTACGCCTTTGGCAACCATTTAAAGTATCATTTAATAAAATCAAAATAATTATTTTCAAAGAATTTCAAATGAAACAACCTATGCGCTCTCCTGTTGGTAGTTAAAAATTTCACCTATTATTTCGGATGGAGTTGATCTATAGTCTAGTTCAAATATATGGCAAACTTAATGTGGTGCTAAATAATAGCAAATTAATCGCGTTTAAGCTTGATGATAAAATATGATGCCCCTATTTCAGATATATTACTCAATTTAACACCTTATTAATTATGGTTAAATTTTCTCGATCGTTATTGTGGCTATTATGCTCCTTTTACACGAGGCCTGACATTTGGAAAATAAAGCCTTTTTGGTCTAACATTTGAAATCAGAATCCTTGTAGATAAGCACTAAAAAGACATTGTTTTTAAAATAAAGTACCAATTTTTGAAAAAAATATAATTAACTTTTGTTTGGCCTAACAAATTAAAAAAAATGCCTGTTGTACCTCGTTGAATCTCGGTAATGTACCTTGAACTGATTCAATGTCCAAGTCTCAATATTGTACCTTAAACGTTCCAACGCATGCATCAAGACCAGTTAGAACATATATGATTTATTGTAGAATTTACCAATCACAGTATGGAAAAATTTTGATGTTATAGGAAAAGCTATAAATATTCCAATTAAATATTATTTGGTATTATATTTATAATTAACTTGACATATTTTAGCTTATACAGGCTAACTTGAAAACTAAGTTTGAATTTGAATTTCATAAATATCCAAATTAAATCTACTGATATAGTGATTCAAACCACGTTTCTCATCTAGCAAGTTGGTGGAAGAAAGTAACATCTCACCCACTTGGAAGAGTGATTTGTCAGATCAAACTATAAAACTGTTGACTTCAGTTTATCTTAAAATGCTTAATATTTAAATTTTTTAAATGTTTAAAATCTCAAAATATTCAATGAATAAATTAGTTTATCTTCGCTACTGTCTGATGCTTCTTTAAGACCTTCCTAATGTAGTTTTGTGAAGACCCGGGCAAAGGTAAAGCCTGAAAGTTTGGATTGATAGAGTTGTCGCAAGAGGTTTGAATTGATAGAGTTGTCGTCATTTCCCCAATTGCCACGCTGACATATTTAAAACAAATGAGTATTATCCAAAGAGTATAATTTAATTGTTCGTATGATAATGCAAGTTACAACATTATATGTATTTCACTTTGGACTTATTTTCTTAATTGAAAAAGTTTTTTTTTCCCAAAAGAGGGCATGGTGAAATTCAGTTAAAAGAAAGGTTATTCTAATAGACAAACGTATAACGCATTACCCATAAAATTTTAGCGTTTTTTAAATTATTATTTTCTACGTAATAAAGGTTAAAATTTATCCAAGGGACAGTACCTTCCTTTTCTAATTCGTGCACATTGCTTGTTCCGTACGGAATAACAAATTAACAAATTTTCTGGTTAACAAATTTTTTAAAATAGGTGTTAAAAAAACTCGCATTAGTTGATCTAAAAAAAATTAAAAGATACAAATACTTCGTTTGCGCTATCATTTAAAAAATAAATTTAATGCCGAATAAGTTTTGAACTTCACAATTCACAAATATTATCGCTGTCTATTAGCTTCACGATAATCTGAAAGATATATTTCACACCAAAAATAGTGAACTATACTTTTCTCTATAGCCTGGTACAAAATTAGAACAAAGTTCAGAAAAAGTAAAATAAATAAAGAATGGAAAATAACTACATTAAAAAAATAAATGAACGAAAGAAAACTCACGTTTTTCTTAATCTTATCAACGAGCCAGTCAACAGTCTCATTTAGCTGCAATGGAAATAAAATATTATTGACTTTGTACAAATTTTATAACCTCACGTATATTGTGAACTATATAAATTTTTTTCTCCAATGCCCACTCGATTGACACTCGTCATTCGAGTATCAGTAGGGTAGATTTGTCTGCCACTCTTTAAAGGACACAATATTAGGTAGGCCAACGTTGCTCTCGCAGAAGGTCAGATAGTACTTAGAATAAAAGAGCATCCATGCCTTGTCTGGGATTCGGATCCTTAGACCTTTCTGATGTGAGGTCAGCTCTCTGATCACTACACAGTCTGTTCGGCATGTGAACTATTTTGTAGAAACTTCTAGATTTTTGATATTTAAAAATGCATTATAGAATACAAAGTGAGAATTTATATGATTTACAACTTAAAAAAAACTTTCACCTTTTTTAAAATTAAAATATAAAAAGAGATAAATATTAGTAAAAAAATATTGTTTTGTGAAATTGAAATTGTTTAAAGTTGTTTTATAATGGACAAAAAATAGTTATATTCAAAATATTTGTTTCAGAGGTATAAGGACTTTTGTCCGGTCTCCTAACTGAAATGGTGTCAGCCTATCTTCCAGATTGTGGGCTAACCCAGTTATTCGGAGATTAATATCGAAATTCCTCTAAAAAGAAGTCTATTATTCAGATTACTCACATACAATTTGCAGGAAAAAGCGCTCTTGTGTGATATTTTCACCTAAATTGCATTAGGGAACAATTTAACAGATCTTAGATACTTTCTTATCGCTAATTTCAAATCTGTAATCGATTTTCTTTCCAAGCACCAGTAGTTTTTTAAAATGAAATTTTTAGTCCAGTTTTTGTCGAAATAAACCAGTTTAAAAACGTTATTCATATAAATAGGTTGCATGAATGTTACGATCATCTGGATAAAAATTTCTTACCGATATCCAGAAATTATACGCCGCTAGGGCGTTTCATTATTATGAACTGTTCCTTCGTGTGCTTCTGAACAGGTCATAATAGGGAAGAACCTCTAGCCATGTGAGATGATATTTCCAGGCATGGGTTTCTATGAAATTTTAAACCTGATTATGTGCACTAATCCCTTAGAATTTACGAGACCCCTATTATATTAAACGTTTTTAAACAGGTGCATTTCGTCAAAAAATAGACTAAAAATGTCCTTAAAAATCTGTAGCTTTATGAGCAAGTCTAATTTCATATTTGAAATCCCCACACCATCAAGTATTTTATTTTATAACCATCTTTGATAAGCCGACACCATTTTGTGTTTACGACTACTAATATTTTGAACCCAATCCAGAAGACAATGGAACTTCTGGATCAAGTATTCGGACATTGCTTTTGTGAAAAACTTTTTGATTTAACCAACCAGCATTTGCGTTACACGGTGAAGAAAACCACGGAAACCTCCCTCGGTAAGCCTGACGACAAGGGAAGTCTAACCCATGATCCGTCTGTCACTGAGAATATTTTACGTCAGCAGTGTGGCCAGTGCGAGCCTAGTGCAGAATTCGTATCGATCAGCTATTTCTGGGAGTCGAACTTGAGTCACCTCATTGAAAGACGAACGCTCCATCCCCTGAGCCACCACTGCTCAATATCAAGTAATTCATAAATGCAACGAAAAATTCGTTCCCCAGTGTTATTATCTGTTTCAATGGAATGGTGTGTGGCCGGGATAGCCTGAATGAATGATCTGTGGATGAATGAGGGTCCCCCTATAAACGGATGTCTAAGAAGTCGAATTCTGAGGCCATAGATGGCGCCACTGGAAAACAAGAGCCCTCGCAGCCCTTGCCTTAATGGCGTACGACGACATCATTGGAATGGTGTATTTTAGGTAGTCTCATTTAACACAGGTTACATAAAAATGAAATATCTCACTCGCATGAGTCCTTCCTCCGTTTGTTCAAGTCTAACTTGTTGTTGTGCACTTTCCAAAGCAACTCTCGCTAGCTTCAGGTCTTCACGTTTTTTCGGGCTCTTTTCCTTCAACCCTGTTTCTTCAGGACGAGGTTCTGATTTCAAATCTGGTGTCAAATCTTTTGCTTCTGTTTTTTCGATTTCCTGATCCTGGGTTGATTCTGGAGTCTCTTCCTCTTCTGTTTTTACCTCCTTTTTAATCCTCTCGGTTTCTATGAATGTTGCATTTCTATAGATTACACTGTGAAACGTTCTTGCATTTATACAAATACCTGATCTTACCTAATTATTGCGTGGCGATTTTAAATCTGAAATTAGTTTTACTTGTAAAACTTTTAAAAATGATATTTATAATCTATTTTTTGACGAAATGTTCAAGTTTAAAAACGTTACATACAGTAAAGGGTGGCGTAAATGTTACAACTTTGCATTGACACCATACCTAGAAATTTCATCTTGCAGTGGTAGAGGCATTTTCCTGTTAACATTTGTTTCAGAATCACACGAAGAAACAGTTCATAATAGAGAAGTACCCCTAACAACGTATGACTGCATTTCTTGGCATGAGTTTCGAGCAATTTTAATCCTGATGGTGTGCCTTAACTGCCCTAAAAGTCCGTTGCAATATCTACGCAGCCCTCTGTTATATATAACGTTTTCAAGTTTGCAAAAATAGACTAAAATGTCATTAAAATTAAAAGCGAAAAGAAGCTAGAGCTTGGAGAGGGATACCGATTGTAGATTTGAAATCAGTGATACTAAAATAAAGATCTGTTGAAAAACTTTATGCAAAAGACAACAAAAATAAAATGTTTCCCACTGTTATTTATTCGTTATTTTTAACTGATATTTCTAAAAGTACAAGATGCTCAGTTGAAAGAATCTACTGTATTCATTTTGCAGCGAAGCAGGGAGATGTATTGAAATATCTCAATATATATTTTCCCGAAACCCAATTTTGAAATATATTTTCTTGACAAACATTTATACTATGTCTTACAATTAACACATCGAGCATAAGACAATTATCATCAATATTGTTATCTCAATCAGTTTCGAAAACAAGAATTATCGAATACACTGGCGTCTGAATAAAGTATAAAATAAGGCGTCAGCTGAAATCACGCGACAAAAGATTGAACCAAATTACCAGGCAAGCTAATCTTTGCTAAACTTGGTTACATGATAAAAAGGATGCAGCGTGAATGCAAAGTTACATAGCTTTACAGCATCTGTGATGAGAAAATCTGTTAATTTAAAAATTACAAAAATGAGGGTTATCATTTTATTTCTCCCAGATCTTTCGTTATCGATTTTCTACATAAAGAATTATCTTTCTCTCCTTTATAATATCGTTTGAAATAAAAAAAAAGTATAGATTCATACTGTTTCTACTTCTATGGTTTCTACTCCTATACTGTTCCCAATTGAATCCTATACTGTTCCCAATTGAATCCTATACTGTTCCCAATTTGAATCCTAGATTGTTCCTAATTGAATCCTTTACTGTTGCCGTTTGAATCCTATATTGTTTTCAATTGACACGCCTACATAAATATCAAATTTTTCTAATAAACATAAAATTATTTTTGCTCCAGTTGCTCATGAACAGTCAGAGAATTAACAATAGTGACAAATCAGTCAACAATGGAGGGGGGGACACGAACGAGGGACGATGATAGTTAGCTACATAGTTAACTTTATATGTGTTGTACATACTCTTCAAGTTTGTAATCACTGTGCTGAATCATTATGCATAATCACTATGTATATATTATTTTATTTTATAACCAGCGCTGAACAGCAGACTCAATTCTGAGTTTACGGCTATCAATGTTCAACTCTGTAGTCTTATAATTCTTAATCCAAACCAGTAGACAAGGGATTCCTGGATCAAGCATTGGGACAAAGTAGTTTTCGTGGAGGACTTTTCTGCTGAAACTAACCCGCGCTTACGTCATGGAGAGAAAAAACCTCCCACGGTTAGTACTGCTTCGTATCAACCAACCTTCACTGGGATTGAAACCTGGGTCGCTACAAAGTATACATTATTTTATTTTATAATCGTCACTAAACAGCCGACCTAATATTGAATTTACGATTTCCAATATTCATCTCCGTAGCCTTGTAATTTTAAACCCAATCCAGAAGACAATTCCTGGAACAAGTATTGGGAGAAATTTGCCTTTGAGTGGGACTTTTTTGATGGAACTATTTTCGTTACTTATAGAGGAAAACCTTCCGCGGTTAGCCTGGCAGGAATGGAACTCTAGCCCATGATCCGTCTGCCGCTGAAGATATTTAATGTCAGCACTTTGGACGGTGCGAGCCGAGTGTGGGATTTGTATCAACCAGCCACCATTGAGATTCGAACCTGAGTCACCTCAATATATGCATTATAAAATTACTATGTAAATGTTGAATCACTGTGTAAACACTGAATCACTATGTTTATACTGAATCTCTATGCATACTCTAATCACTTGACCTGTTGGCCATGAATACTCATTTTGATCTATTCCAGTTATTTCTTTTTTTTTTTTTCTTTGAAAAAAGATGTTTGGCTTCCAACTGATAAGCATTTAGTTACCTTCTTTCTCAGAGATGAGATTCGTCTGAGTTTCTTTCGATTCAAGAGACACTGATATGTTCGCTTCTGAACTTACTGATCTCCGTGACTCAGTTTGTTCGTCATGTTTCTCTGTCATACTAGAACCTGTCACACTACTTCTTCGAACATCCCCTTTTAGCTTGGCTTGCGTAAGGGCAGCTGCGGCATTCAGTGGACTCTGAATGTTGCACCAGGGTCTCGAATTTGTTAAGCCTAACTCCGATATCATAGCTTGTAGGACAGTGTGAAGAATGTTAAAGTTTACAACTCCCAGTTCCGGCACTTTCAAGGCTAAATCAACCAAATCAGGTAACGTAAAATTGTTGATGAGCATCGTGGATTATTTGTGATAGCGGAACTTACCTGAAAGAGAAATTTAATTTCTCTTAAATGTTTAAAATGAGAAAATGATATTTATTTATGTTAAACATCTATTTTATGAACTGCTATTTATTTAAACGTTTTCAGAATTACCTAATGCAGATTGTCCTAGAATTAACGAGAGAAGTAATTTTGATAGAAAATACAGTTTTTAACTAAAAATTTTGATATTTTTTGATTCATAGGAGATGCAATATCTATAAAATGGCATATCGAGTAAATTGCCACCAGGAGTTCACTGGAACGTTCGCATTTTTTGCAGTGATTTTAATGTTTTGCTTGCAAAAGTGTTGCTGAATTTCATTGAGCGCTTTATTTCTCCTTCAAGGAGAAGGAGGTTATGAATTTGTTTACATAAATTTTTGCTTTTTTTTTATAAAAGAAAAGGAAAATGTTTTACGACATGTTAAATCTCATGTCAATTTTGATAAACGAAATGAGAAAATACAAGTGTTACGACTGATTTAAAAGTTCTGGAATTGTTACTCAACAGTGAAAACACGTTGTTTCTTTTCATGTTGCTCTTTATTCTTAATGACCCAGAACGATCGGCAGCCCAATTGTTAATTCTATTTTCATTTGTAATATTTTACTGCACATATGGCAAAAAGAAATCTTATAATTCATACATTACGGAACATCCTTTATAAGTTTTAAAATCAGATTGTAGGATATCCACAATAAACTACTTAATTTCAATTATGACACTAAACATTAATTGTAATGATAAAACTTAGAATAATATGAATGTTACTTAATTAGATCTATTTTGGTCTATTTTCACGAAATAGTATATATACAAAGTTTCTAAAAAAGTTTTCACGTTTTTCGGTTAGCTGGGTGCAGCGAAAAGTCACCAAAAAATTTAAACTTCCGCCAACTTTTCATTATTATTTTTTGTTAAATTTTGTTTATTTCTTAAATACATAAAAATTAAATGAAATAAAAATTAAATAAAATAAGAACTAACTAAATAAAAATTAAATAAATTAATTAAAAATAAAATTTTAAAAAAAATAGTTGACTTTCATTGTGCTCGGTTTAACGAAAAGTACCAAAGTATTTTTCACCTAGAAAACGCAGTGAAAAAAAATATGCTTCAAAATTTCCTTTGGCATTATTTGGCGGCAATCATGTTTATTTGCTGTACTCTGCCAAATAAAATGGCGTTGGAAATATAGGATAATTAAAAATAATTAAAACGTGAAAAACATAAAAACATGAAATAACGTAAAACATAACATAGCAGAAACATAACATAAAAACATCAAATAACGTGAAACATATAATAACAAAAACATAACATAAAAACAGAACGAGATGTATCATAAAATACTCGGGTTACTATAAATGAAAAAGACTCACTCACGCGCACATATCCTGGTTACAGATTTAATGAAGTAGAAGCCATTTTTTTAAAAAAAGAATGTATTAACAACAAGAAACTATTTACGAAACATACTTCATTAAAAACTGATTTATGTTTAGAACCTAGTGCCTAGACTATAAACATATTTTCTTTTCTGGGTTTTTTGCACTGATTAAAAAAAAACCCAGACAAAATGGTTTTTTAATTTCTTTTCAAACTTAAAAAGTAATAAGACTGAAGCCCCTTCTAGTCTTCTATTTCAATCTTGAATATGATTACAGGAAGATCTAGCATAATTACAGATTTCGGCAAATAATACTTCTAATATAAATATTGCTTTATTTAAATTAATGAAACTATCGAAAAAATATTGTTCATAATAAATAAAAACATTTATTACCGTTTTACTTTGCGAAGTGATCGAATGAAGTGTTTACGTTTGTGGGTTCAATTCACATGCCAAGTTTTGTGTGCCAAGTTTTAACATTATAGATATACTTAAGCAAGCCATCAATTTTTTTAATGGTAAATTACATTTATTTCACTTGATGTGAAGTCAGTATGCCTTATACTGAATATGCTATGATGTCTAACTTAATGTATGTTTTTTTTTCTCTAAGAAACAGTTTCCACAAAATCATAAAAGCTTGAACATTTTAATGGTGTCTAAATGTACTACATTTTCACATATACTGAGGCGAAAACTTTGGGTATTTTTGCATATGTAAAAAGAAATAATTATAGAAAAATATGTGGCGTAACTACCACTATAAATATTAAATACCAATTCACTAGTATATAAGATATGTTAACTTGATTTTATCTTGAGGTACCTTTTGATAGATGTAAGTTGACATAGTCGATAATTAAATCTCCTTATTGGTGACCTGTGGACATGATATGACTTCTCCAGCATAAGTGGATGGTACGCATTAAACAGTTAATTTGCTTAAAATATTGCGCGCAAAAAAATAAATCCAGTGAAGTAAATAAAAGTCTCCCGGTCAATAAATATTGAAGAAAAAAAATAATGAGCTGTCTAATAAACAAAAATGAAGAAAAACTTTAATGAACAAAAATGATATAAATAAAAAAAAAAACGCAAAATGACTTTTCCCCCCATTCTGTTTCGAGTAAGCCAAGCCCGACAAGTATCAATTCTCTTAAGTGACACATTCTATATTCTTTAACAAAGATTCTTTCACAAAGATTTCAATTGTTTCACTATATACTTTTTTAATAATACAGAGACAGACACGTAGTCTTGTAGAATGTAAACAAACTAATTATGCATAAAAGTTGCCAGATACACAAAACATGATCACCTGGAGTTGACGCCATAGGTCGCATGTGCGGGTATCTGTGGCCTGCTTCTTTTTGAAGTGCAAGTTGCCAATTTCTACTATTCCTATTGCGGCATCTGCCGTTTCAGTCGGAATGCAGCTTGAGTTATGTGAATGCGAACTGTTAATGTTATTGCATGAACTGAAGTGAACATTCATTGATCGATTGTTCAAGCTTAGCGTCTCCTGCATGTGATATTTTACGTGCAACTAATATTATTTCAATATTTATATTTCTTATAAACATTTACATTTTTATGTAATAAAAATGTGATTGCCCTTTATTTCATTTCTTATTCATTTAACGCTACATATGCCTCACTATCAATAGAGGTGTCCAAGCGAGCTATTTGACCAATATAATTCAAGTAATCAGCCGTAATATTGTGATTATTAGTGGCTATGTGATTATTAAAAAAGCGTAGTCATGTGTGAATGATTGGCCTTCGGTAAACACCACTCTTCTTATTTATTGTTAGAGACCTATTTATGAAATGAAAACTATTTAGATGTTAGTGGTCACAAAATAATATTGAACTGAGTAAAATACAAAAAAAATATCATAATCTCACGAATATTCATTGAGGTAAGCTGGGTTAAAAACTATTTTGAATGCCGGGAATTGTTTTTTCGGTTCCCCTCGATTCTTTACCTATGATTTCTATAGAGTGGTAAATTTTTGCTTTGTGTTTTATGAGAAATCTAAAAATATATTTTAAGTATGGTAATTATGGAACATCTTGAACAATCTACACCCTTATACTCCTTTTTCCTTCGAATTAAAAGTAAAATTATTTTGAGAACACGCATTAAATTTTCTTTAAAGATCTGTTGTTAAAAAATGTGAGAATATTTTTGAACTTGCGCTTTGTAACAAAGTAGATTTTCATCAATTTGGAATATAAAGCGTAAAACTAATTTTTTAAGTATCGAAAAGAGTGATTCAATTGAAAATATTTCAATTCTCGAAGGCACATTTTGAAGCACAAAAATAGCCTTTGGTATAGCAGAGAAGATGTATAAGAAAACAAAACAATCTAGGCATCTGGGTTGAACATTAAACCAATGAATATGCTCAATTTTCATCTTAAATTATTTGCTAATTTGTCTTGGGGCGATCTTTAACAGCAATGAAAATCATTACTTATCATCTAATTTGCTGAGCGAGGAAGAGTTTTTAAATGGTTCTTAAGGCAACATTGTAGCTATTGTGCAAGACTCAGAACTTCAAGTGAGTTTACTGAAAGAGGCTTAAAAAAAAGCCAGTTTATGAGCAGTTAATGCCATTAGGATCATAAGAATATTTTGCTCCAGGGAGGACTCAATTTACTAGCATCGTATCATCTTTCCTTCTAATTACTCCAGCACCGGTAATAGAAAGTTTTCTTCCTTTTTTTATTTCCTAATTGGCCTAAATTGCTTATTTATTTATTTAAATAGACGCCATACTGGTGAAAGAAGGAAGGGAAAATGTTCGCCAACAATAATGGAGAATGTATCTTATTACTGTAATGCGTGTTTTCAGAAGAATGCAAAATGTTATGACTAGATTATTTTATGTATGATTCTATATATATTTATTCATTAATTCTTTTCAAATATTAGAAGAATCCATAAAGATAAATGCTATTTTCTACTCATTTTATTTATGCTTTACGATGAATTAATATTTTAGGTTTTTCTTTTCACTTCTCACTTTTAATACAATTAAATCAAATAAAGAGGTAAAAATACGAGATAAAGTTTTCCTAATAAAGTTAAAAAGGTGCTCGACTATGACTAAGTATTATTTGCATATAATTTATGGTAGATACTATGAAACGATTCGTAATAATCGACTTTTCCGGAACGCAGCCTAATAATGAAAGCTAAATCTGACAACTTTTAGAATTGGGTATTTGTAACTCTTGATGAAGTGAAGTGATCCTAACCATATGACTTAAATCCGATTGAACTGGGTACCTGTAAGGGACGTCACGCGTGTGTGTTGAACCTGATTGGCTTCTGAATTGACAATTGCTATGATTTACTTATGGTGATACAATACAATTGGATACTTGCCGGTATAAAATTGTAGGGCGTCATTGAAAAAAAATGCTCATTTTAGTTTTATTTGCTGTCTAATTTTTCTGCAACTAAATACTATGCGCAAAGCAATTAAAGGATATTGAGGTTGTGGATTGATCTCGCACTTGGAGAACTGTTTGAAAAATTGATACTTTTTTGACAAACGTGGTAGGC